AAAAATAGATGTTATAAATGGCTCCTATAGAGTACTATAGATACATAGGGTGTTAATACATTCTCTTTGTATAACCAATCTCCGTATATTGAATCTTTTCCTTATACTTTGCTTTTAGTATTTACTCCTTGCATTTCATGTTAAAACAATAGGGTTTCGATCTTTTCTCTTTTCCTTGGAAATGATAAAGTTCGGTCTTGACTTTTTAAGTCTTTGTAAGTTAAGTTCCTCAATAGCTTGGTCTCCTTGATTTTTCACCGTGATAACAATGCTTACAAAAATTGTTGATTTAGTCATGTATGGGTTGGTTGGTATATCCACAGCAAAGCAAAAAATATTAGCCGTAGTTGTTAGTGAATAATAAATAATTTTACAGTAGAAATAGGCTACTTCTAAAACACACTATTGTCTTGATGTCACTTTTTTTTTTGTTCATCTATCAATAAAATAGACTCTTTCTCATAAACTTATTTTTGTACTAAAGGTCTTGAATCATAAGGAATACAACAAAATAACTAATGGAAGCAAAACTAATGTACAAAGAAAAGAAAAACAAGTTCATTTGTTCACCTGTATTTCAATTTAGATTTTACAGAAGCCTTTTTTGGCTTGCCAGTGAAGTTCTCAGTTGAAACAGTTAAAAGCTGATTGAGTGACATTTATCCCTCCCACAAATCCTTCTTTATTTCATACCTATGCTTAATTCTGTCATTTAACTTGTATCTAAGAAATGCAGGAAAATCCAGCAACTCCTTAATGTCACGATCCATATCCTCTATCAAATACTTCATCTTCTTCTCAAGAGAGGCGTGATTATATTGCAGTGTTGGTGGATGCTTCTTACTCATAGCAAAAATATCTTCTGACGACAACCTGTAATTCAATAATACACTCACCATCTTCTACATATTCTCACAGCTTATTCTAGTAGAAGCCGCGATCGCCACTGCCAACTCTTTTGTCCTATATTTATATCCAATCTTGACCAAAAACACAAGCTTATAGGCAAGGTTCTCGTGTAACTAAATGCTCAAAAACACTGGTGCTTTGATCAAGAATTTAAAGATATCTCCCGAGTCTAACCCGCAATCCTTGAGAAATTATATTCTAGGATGCAGTTTCCTCTCTCTACTACTAGTGAAGATAGCTGGAAACACTAACACTATCCTAAATATTTTGACGATTTTGATGATTTGAATTACATCTCGAATAATTCTTCATATTTATCTTCTTTCTTCATTAAGCAAGATACGAGGAACAACTTATTGCTTCTTCATGATTCGTCTAAGATGTATATGATTGGTAAAATGAATAACATCTTGTAGAATTCTTCATATTTTTATAGTGGATGATTGCTTCTATTTGGTTCTGTTCTGATAGTGATAGCTTTTCTTTTTAACTTGAACATCAACAACATGTGATTTGCAACTTGCAGCTTTTAGCACCCAGTTAAGCAGCCTATGGCAAGTTCATCAATATTCAGCATCATGTGTTGAGCAACAGCTAACTAACCAACAGTTTTAAACTTATGATTCTTTTCTTATATAGCCAAGAAAAATAGAATCGTTGGCTATTTGAAAAAGAGTTATTACGAATAGTACTACGACGTCCTTGTCTCTTCCACACTTTAAGTTAGTGGAGAGGTAGTGGCATAAAGTTTTTCGTACTTTGTACTTGGCCACGCCATTCATCAGAAACAGAACCTACTTGTTAAGTACTCAACAATAACAAATAATAGTACAACAAAATTGTTCATACAATCATACTCATTTGTTATCATCAAAACTCAAAGATAATATTGCAGAACCAAATATTGTTCTTACAAGGAGATTGTCAGTTTCATGGTTCTGTGGTTGGCTAAATTTTGGATAGCATGGTTCTAAGTATGGTTCTATGTTGATGTTGAGGAAGATGGTGCATCATCTTTATCAACTGTCATAACAAGTTTTGTTGTTATGTGTTTTTTCTGCCATATGTCACAGAAGATGTTGTGACATCCTGAGGCTGGTGCAGCAGGCGCTGCTTTTGGATATCCTTGAAGACTTAATTTGAAGATATGAGTATCTGAAATATTTTGTACTCATTATAGGTGCAGTCTAATCAAGGATTTTTTTAGAAAGATGTGCAGATTTGATTGATTACTAAAAAGGATCACTGAGACTTTTTAGGAAACTATTTATGAAGATGTTTCTATTTTAAGCATAGTTTTAATGTAAAACCTTGTGATAAATAAGGGTTTAGGTTTTGATAGTTCCTTAGGTTCTTTGTTTGTTTTTGTGTATGCCCTCATGTATCTTTGATACATTTGAGTTGACCGATTGTTGCTTGTTCGTCAAGCTATTGTTCTCCTCTATGTTGTTAGCAAGAGTGAGTATTGTTCTTGGAGGAAACTTTTAAGAAACTTCGAGTATTTGATTTGGAAGTGTGTTCTTCTTGGTTTTTATTGTTCAGGTTGTTATGATTGTAACTTGATTTGAAGAGATCCCCTGTGATTGGGATATGTCTTTTATCATTGCGGTGATTTGAAGTAGGATGTCAATTTCTCATATCTAGGGAGGACCTAGGTAGAAGTTGCACTGGGTAGAGATTAGGCGCGAAGTTGTAAGCTTGGGACTAGTTTAGGTTCAAACTAATACTACTAATAATGGATTTCTTTCCTGGCTTGGTAGCCCCTAGAGTAGTTGAGTTAGCACCGAACAACGTTAATATATCATTGTGTTCTTTAGCTTTCTACAACTTATATTTCTGCACAATTATTATTGTTATTGTTTTATCATCAGATGTTATAACATTTGTTGTGACATCGCTTGTATGTTGAGACATTCGTCTTAACATATTTGGTGTGCGTGCCAGAATTTCAATACAGATTCTTTCATTAGAGATAGAGTTCATGTTGCACACTAGGTATCCAGTGGATCGAATTAGGCTCTTGATGCCTAATGTTAGAACTTTGAATCACTTGGTTGGTGAAAATGAAAGATTTGAATGTGAAGAGTGAAAGAGAGATAGAGGAGAATTAGAAAAAGATAATTGAGGAGGAGAATATTTTTTATTAACCACCATAAGAAAATTGGCAAGTTACGACAATTAATTTTGGCAGGTTACGACAGTTTGAATCGCCTAAAATGGCAAGTCGCAATGGTTGTGGTTTTGTCGCGAAAATATGTATCGCCAAGTTGTACTACAATAGTTGCTAACACTGCGACTCCAACAGTTATTCTATGTTGTGACATGTAAAAGATTCACGGTTGACAGATGGAGGGTGGTTTGATAACTTAGAGTTTAGAGATTCACGGTTGTGTGTGTGGCTGATATATATATATATATATATATATATATATATATATATATATATATATATATATATATATATATATATATATATATATATATATATATATATATATATATAGAGAGAGAGAGAGAGAGAGAGAGGGGGGAGAGAGAGATGCACGATTATATCAAATTTATCATATTGAAGCGTCGTTTCCCTCTTTCTCTAATTAGAAGTGTGTTTTAGGAATATTTTGGGGGACGACTGTTGTTCAACCGTCGTAACTCTAAATTTCTCCAAGGCGTACACAGAAATTAAATTTATTTAGGGAAGGACTGTTGTTGAACCGTCACAGACTTCTTTTGAGGGTGGTTAGACTTACGGCCGTCATAAAATAATTAAGATTTTTAAAATATTAAATTGCGATTGTCCAAAACCGTCGTGGCAACCGTCGTAACTTACGAAAGAGGGCGATTTTAATGGAACCGTCACAACCTACGTATCGCAAAACACTTTTTTTCTTGTAGTGAATATTGATAACAACACCTCCAAAATATTAAAACTATTACAAATGGATTGGGATACAAGTTACATAAGTTAAATAAAAGAAAAAAAACTAAATTCTCGAACATGTAACCGATTACAATTGTTAACGATAGTAACTGATTACTGCAAATGCGTAACTGATTACACAAACGTCAAAATTACTTTTTCTTCAACTTATTTAACCTTTTGACATGCCTATAACCGAATACGACACTAAATTTTTAAATTTCTCTTAACAATTCCTCTAAGATTTTTTTTAAATAAAAAAATTTAGATGACCTTGATTGAATATCACAAAATTTATTTATATAAAGTGTTTGTTTGATCATGAGGCTACAACTAAAATCACACTTAAAAAATCACTTCAAAGCATAAAGTTTAAACATCTGTTTGGTGTCACCATTTGCAACGTCCAAAATTGATTTAGAATGTGAAAATTAATTTTAACATATTTGACTGTTTTTGAGTAGAAATAATTATATTTTTAATAATTGAGTCTAAACAGAAAATTTAGTGTTGAACTCACTTTTTCAAAACCTTAACCAAACATAAATAGTTATCTATTCATCTCAATGTTAATCATTCAAAATCAATTTTTATATAATGAATTCATCTAAAAACAATTTTCTTTCCCTTAAAACCAAACAAACTTTTAATTCTGTTGATTCTGAAATTCACGGTGGAACCAATATTTGGACAAAGCAATTTAGAGATTAAATTATTCTCTGATTTAAAAGATTAAATTATCGTTGGACAATTTTAAGGGAGAAAATTGCTCAAACTCTTATAATTTCTTAATCAAATTGCTTATATAGTGGTTACAAAAAATGTTGATTTGGTCATGTATGGATTGGTTGGTATATCCACAACAAAGCAGGAAATATTAGCAGCTAATTTTACAGTAGAAATAGGCTACTTCTAAAACACACTATTCTCTTGATGTTACTTCATTTTTTGGGATTAAAAGCAATCATAAGGAATACAGCAAAATAACTAAGGACAGCAAAATTAATGTACAAGCAAAAGGAAAACAAATTCATTTGTTCCCCTTTATTTCAATTTGGATTTTACAGAAGCCTTTTTTGGAATTTCTCAGTTGAAACATGTAAAAGGTGATTGAGTGACATTTGTCCCTCCCTTGAACCCTTCTTTATTTCATACCTATGATTAATTCTTTCATCTAAATTGTATCAAAGAAATGCAGGGAAAAGGAAAGCAACTTCTTAATGTCATGATCCATCTCCTCCGTCAAATACTTCATCTTCTTCTCTAGAGCGGCGTGATTATACTGCAGTATCCGTGGTTTCTTTTTAGTCATAGCAAAAATGTCTTCGGGTGACAACCCGTAATTCAATAATACACTCACCGTCTTCTGCATATTCTCACAGGCCACTCTAGAACTAATCCCCATCGCCACTGGCAACTCTTTTGTCCTATATTCATACCCAAGCTTGACCAAAAACACAAGCCTATACGCAAGGTTCTCTCGGAACGAAATGGCCAAAAACACTGGTGCATTGATCAAGAACATAAAGATTTCGCAAGAATCTAACCCACAATCCTTGAGAAATTGTATTCTAGGACGCAGTTTCCTCTCTCTACTACTAGTGAAGATTGCTGGAAACACCAACACTATCTTAAATATTTGTTGATCATCAAGTTCTACAAAAGACCTTAAAAACTCTATATGTTCCTCAATATGTTCCGCCCTATAATTCAAGATAATAGGAAACTTATTCAGCACTTTCCCAACACTTTTCTCGTCACCGCCACTTAACTCAGTAAGAACCCTGATTCTCGGTTTGAGCTGACAATCAAAATCATAGTTGAGAATTGCAGGGTACCTCACAATCAAATCAACACCACCAAAGGGTTTTAAGAAACTAATTACTCTTTCAAGTTCTTCCATCGACCTATGACAAATTGCCTTTGACAAATCTACTTTGTTAAGCACATGTACAATCTTGTCACCCGCAATTCCACGGTCAAGAAGCAATTGAACCTTGTGAGGAAAATCGGATAACTTTTTTGATAAAACAAGTTTCACCTTAGCTTGCTTAAGCTGTCCATGCAATTCATTTTTCAAAAAGCTTAACAAAGGGTCAATTTCATTAGAAGTTAGCACATTTAATTGCTTTGTAACTAACTGATTGATGGACACACGATCTAACCCGAGAGACTGTAGAAGAAGAATGCGACCATGCAATGAATCTAGTTGTATCGAGCTAAGTTCGGAAGCGTTGCTCAAGAGCGATTCGGTTTCCTCAAAGCTGATACCGATTTCTTGAAACAAAGAGACGAGTGACACTGCAAATGAAGCAAAAAATAATAGTAAGAGATTGCTTATAAGGTGTTTGAGAAAATGTGTGAGAGAAGTTTATTTACCGAATTGGAAGTCGACATTGGACTTGTGGGAAGTGCAGCGGCAGTGGATGGAGGGACGAAATTGGAAAAGGAAAGAGCTGCTGTTTGGTGGTTGTGATTTGGTGAGTGGGGAGAGGAAGGGTTGAGTTTGAAGATGAGGGAAAAAGGTTGAGGGTTGACGGGAATGTGAAGGAAGAAAGGCTATTAAAGAAGAAGAGCAATGGCATGGACGATTAGACAATAGAGGGAGTGCTGCTAGCGCCATTTCTGCAAAGTGGCAGAATTCACGGCAAGGGATGACCGCGCCTCCACGGCAATGTGCGGTTCGCGTGGGATTCTGGGTGCAAAATGCAAAGTGCTGCCTTATCACCGCCGTTTAAAAATTATACATCTCACGCTTCGTATTTATTTCCAAAATGCTCCTTTACTATTTACTCTAAAAATTTTATAATTGTAAAAAATAAAAAAAGTTTTATTATTGATCAAAGTTGGTCAAAACGAAATTTTCGGGACGCTGACTAAATTTTCGGTATTCAAATTTTGGTGTATATCGGAAATACTCTGTATTATGCAAATTTTTGATTGCGAAAAATCAAAATTTTCTATATGTGATTCACCGGAAAATTTAAAAATTTTGGGATGATTTCCAAAAGTCATTGTATAAATCGGAAATCACGTAAATTTCCGGAAGGTAGCGTAATACTGGAAATTTCAAATTTTCGTATAATTGAAAATTTCAATTATGTTTGAAATTTTCGTTATGCCTGCAGATGAAATTTTATGTATTTGCGGTCCAAAGCCGGCAGATTCAGGTTCTTATACGAATTCATGTACTGATGTTACGCAATTCTTCACCACATATACCATATGTCTTTTATTGAATTTACACATTATTATTTGTTTGTCGACCTTAAATAAATTGATGAAGTTTACTAATTATATGTTGTTGTAATTGACAGATTTTTAATTTTGACCTAAAGTTCTAGAATGGACACAATCTATTGGTAAAAAGCATGGTATTGTTGTTGTTATAATTCGTTCTGATTCGGCTAATGGAATACGAGAGAGGAAGGATAAATTGATTTTTGGTTGCGATAGAGGAGGAAATTTCAAAAGAAAAAAAAGGAATTTGGGTCCATCTCTAATGACATCTATACTATGAAAGTTAAATGTCCCTTTAGGCTGAGGTCTGTTCCAAGTGGTATCGGTTGGAAGGTGATGGTTAGATGCCGGATACATAATCATATATTAGATAAGGACTTGAACGGTCAATGACATATTAGGACGTATATAAGATCATGAAAAAAATTGTGAAAGACATGAGGAAGTACAATATGGCACCAAGGTACATCATTTCTAGTTTGAAAGACAAAGATCCAGAAAACCTCACGAGTATTATCCAAGTATATAGAGCTAGAGCAACATACAAATTGAGCAAGAAAGGTGCAATGACTGAGATGTAAATGTTATTGAGCCTTATTCACCAAGATAAATACATGTGTTGGACTAGAAATAGGGAGAATTTGAAAATTGTGGATGATATCTTATGGACACATCATGATTCTGTGAAGTTGTTGAATATGTTTCATATGGTGTTAATTTTTTATTGCACATACAAGACAAATAGGTAATAATTTTACTTCTCTCATCCTAAAATATGTTAAGTGAGTTGGTTGATTATGGCATTTTAATCGTGCAAGTATCGATTACCACTGCTGGAGATTGTTGGTGTTACATCAACAAAATTGACGTTTTCAGTTGCCTTTGCCTATTTGGAACATGAAAGGGAGGAGAACTATATAAGGACACTACATAAGCTCAAAGAGTTGTTCTATTCATAGAAGTTGCTTCCGAATGTTGTGGTGACGGGCCGAGAACTTGCATTAATGAATGCCATGTATCATGTGTTTCTAAATGCAACTCATATGTTGTGTACGTTCCATATTTCAAAAAACGTGAGCATGAAATGTAAAGAGTACGTGAAATCAGAAAGACAAGAACTTGTCATGGATCAATGGAACAACATCATGTATTCAAATACAGAAGATGAGTTTGATATATATTTCAAGCACTTCGAGAGTGTTTGTGGTGATATTTCATATTTTGTCAAGTATGTGAATGAAACATGGTTAACACCATATAAAGAAAGACTTTTGCTGCATAGACTAACAGAGTCACTCATTTAGGTAAGACAACAACAAACAGGTACTCAGATAGTGACAGTTTGATATCATTATTATACATGTTTACGTTTCGGTAATAATTTGTAACATGTTATTATATGTATGGATTTTAGGGTGGAGTCTGCACAATGGAGACTAAAAAACTTGTTGACTTCAAGTCGTGGTGATTTATGGCGAAGTTGGGATACTATGAACACCGTGTTAAAGTTATAGCTAGATTCTATCAGAGTGTCATTTCAAAAAAGTATCATCAATATTGAGCATAGATATAACATCCCATTCTATGCTAAGTTGCACGGTTTTGTCTCAAGACAATGTATACAACTCATTGAGAAGGAACTAAAAAGAGTAAAATTTGTTGGTTCAAGCAAGGAGAGGTGTGGTTGTTTCATTAGAACAACCCATGGGTTACCCATATACCTTTGGAATCAATTCATGTATTTTGGACGAAATTGCACATTTCAGAACATGATGTGAGTCCTAAAGAGAATAAGTGGGATCTAGAAGAAGAGTGTGAAGAGTTGAAAAAATATTTCAATACTTTGGATATTGTTGGTTAGAGGGTGTTGAAGAAAAAAGTATGTGATCTAACATATCCATCCATAACTTTAATGTGTCCACCTCCGGTGAAGTATAAGCCAAAGAGGGGAGTTAAGAAGAGTAAAAGGGGTGAGAAGAGTGATGTGCGTAACACCCCCTAAAGCCCGCACAAATAGCATAATCAGAGTAAATTAGCCTGCATATCAGATGAGTGCATCACATTTTCTTCACGACAATAACACAATACACTGGTCATGCTTATAATACACATTTAAAAATTGTGTTCCATACAGTAACTCATATGCATCTCACAGTAGAATAATTCTCATTTCAAAGTAATACTAATGATTGAAATCCCATACTGACAATTATATCATAAAATGTTAGGCACTAAAGACCACCATCACATAATCCCGAATATAACACAAATATTCAGAGAGTATAACAAACATCTCTCAAAACAAACATGAATATAACAATATAACATAAATCCAAATGTTCCCTATGTTACATAACAAGAGCATGACTCACTACCTAAATAAAGGTAAACAAAGAACTAGCTCTTCCTACTAATTCTCGCTAGGAGCACCACCGCTATCCTCGGTACCAGAGAGATATCGTATAAAAATATCATTCCAACAGAAGGGTGAGAACTGATATCATTATAGAAATATATAATACTACCTCTGTTCCTTTTTATAATAGACAATTTATTTTTTAGGTTCATTGAATAATCAATGTATCTAGTTTATAAACATGTCAAATATATTGATTATTTAATGAACCTAAAAATTGGCTTTTCTCTTATAAAAAGGAATGGAGGTAGTAATAAGTAATGCACAACAAACATATATCAAATAAATTCATTACACTTCACATAATTAGGTATTCAACACACTTCAACATAATTCGTATGATTTCATATACAACATTTCTCAATGATTTAAGATTCAAAGATAATCAAACACAAATACTAAAAATGTAACATTCATACCAATATCACATATTGCACACCAATTCAACATTCACATCGAAAATTGTGACTCCAATGAAATTCAATTCAATATACATGTGGTACCAACTGTTATCCTTACTGGTCCTGCTGGATCCACATCTCCAAGACAGATAACCACTAAAAAGTCCGTTCTCTAAGCTTTCAAACCCCCATCTCCAGGTTTGGGACAAGTAAATAATTCTCACAGAATGACCAAACATCTCCTCTTGACACAAACAATGCATGTGCAATCTCAACTTAAATATGCAATTAAGACCATCTTCATATCTTAATCATACAAGCATGTTTCACATAATTTAACACATTTGAATTATCTTCACCAAATTGCACAACATACATATTTAATGTCACCAATCACACACAATGCATTCTCATAACATTAATCATCTCAACACATCCTTATAACATGTAGTAAACAGATTCTAATCATATTACTCACATTCATCATCATTTCACATCATTCTCATACACAAAATCAAGTATCATGTTTCTCATCAAAAGTCATCCAAAACCAATCCAAAAGACATCAAATAAATTATTAAAATTCATGTAAATCAATGATAAATCATAAGAATCCATGATCCATAACAGTTTCAGAAAATAATAATTTTTGTATTCCAGACTGCGCTAAGCGGCCTCTGTGAAATACAGAAAAAATCTGCTTCGGACAACTTCTACCTTCAACAAATTTGTCCATTCAAACACATATATTTCAACAATTAAATTTATTATAACCTGTATCTAATATATAGCATCAAATACAAACATCAAAACATGATTTCCAATATCAATTTCATGATTCTACATTCAAAACCTAACATGTCAAAATCTAGAAATTGAAGAACAAATCCCTATTTTCATGTTACTACCCATCACATACTATTATATACACCCATAAATAAATGAATACACACTCTTACCTTAGATGTAGATACTCTAGGGTTCTATCATCTTCTCTTCTCCTTTTCTTCCTTTTCTCCTTTTTTCCTCTTTCTTCTCTTCTCTTGTTTTCTTCAATTTCTCTTTCTAATTCTATATTTTCCTTATTTTGTTCAACTCTTACTAACTCTAAATGGACTTAACTCCACTCACCAACTCTAATAAAACATAAGACCCAATTTGCTATTCTCACACTCAATAACCCAATAACATATAATACACACTTATTCCAACTAAATCAATTATTTACATAATCACACAAAATCAAATCATTAAATAATTATCAAACAAATAATAATTAACATGGAAATTAAATAATAAAATAATTAATAAAGAAAAATTGGGGTGTTACAATGTGTATCGTGATCCTAGCCAGTGGGAATATATAACACACTTCTAAACCCCGCGGAATATTGCATCATAAATCAGAGTAATTATAAGAGTTAAATGCCTTATATCCCCCTGCCATATAGGCGTGTTTTGCTATTCTCACACTCAATAACCCAATAACATATAATACACACTTATTCCAACTAAATCAATTATTTACATAATCACACAAAATCAAATCATTAAATAATTATCAAA